TCTATCTATCTATCTATCTATCTATCTATCTATCTATCTATCTATCTGTCTGTTCACAATTAAAGTAAAACCTTTTTTCCTAAAGAGTGAATGCTTCATGTCACGGTAGAAGAATGCAAGAAGCACACAGACAGACAGATGTAGAACAGATAGGTAGACAAATCTGTTGTTGCTTTTTACTTTGACCTCTGTCACCCTCCCTCACCTTCCTTGGAACGAGGAACATGCCAAAAAAAAAAATCTGGATGAGTTCCACTTAACTTGCAATGAATGATATGTAAGCGCTCTGGTTAAGCAACAAGAATGAAAAGAAAACTACCTCAACGACTGCTGAGAGGTCAGGTTAAGTTCAGGGGAGAAGACCATGACACCTGCATGCAAAAGCCCATCAGAGCCTCAGATGCTCGGGCCAAAATCAGAGATTTGAGTATTCTGTAAGAAATCACAGTATCTGAAAGCCCTTTACAGTGAAAGTCAAGCAGAGTTCCCAATCTAAGTCTTACTTTTTTCTAATGTAAGTAAAAAATATTTTAGTGTGTTGGATTCAGTTCTAATTTAGATTTACTTGTTGCCTCAGACATTTGGCATCAGAATCTTTGTTTTTCTAATATTTTTTAGACCAAAAATTCGAAGCAGGGTTCAAACCACTTCAGTTAATTTAACTCTATCCAAAAACACTTAAAATCCTGTGTCACCAGGAGAGATCTGTTTAGAGGCTGTCCAGAAGCCACAACCTGTCCCAGACTTTTAGAGGCTGTGTCAAACTCCCCCAAAACAAAGCATGATCATGTTATCTTCAACATTTACAGATGTCTCACGTAGAATTATCACATAAAAGTTTACATTGTTTGAAAATATCCACATCACTGCTTTAAAGTAGCGTCCTGCCTGACTGAAACTGATTTGCTCAGCTGTGGCCTTCTTTGATGAGAGGTTGCTGAAAAAGTAACTGGTCACTCCTTTGTTAGGAACAAGAAATATGAACCTTAAAGAAGCTAAAATAAATTGTTTAAATTCTTGTTATAATCTGATATAGAAACAGTAAACAAACCTTACTCTATGATATTCGGATAAAGCACCTTTTCCCTTTAAGTGAGTGGTGTTTGATTCGGGGTGGAAAGAAGAGTTAATTAGTCTTTAATTTTGTGACACTTGTTATGCACAGTTTAAATAGATATTATGTTATTGCTAACAACTCTTTCAAATCCAGTAATCCCGTGTACAGTTTAGTGGGGTTTGACCTAGATCACGCCCTTTGACACCCGTAAACCAAAAGTTAGTCACTGACCCTTTTTCTGTCAACACTTCAGACTGCTGACGACGCAGACAGAGGCTTGAGAGTTAACATGAGTAACGAGCTTCAGGCCAGTTAAACTGTCATTCCTCCTCTCCCAGCTGCTCAGGGGCCCTTTCTCCAGTTCAGCTTGAGCGTGCTGCTGTACTCGTAGGCGTGCATATACACCTAACGGTGAAATCTGTATTTGAAATGGCCCGGTGTTAAACTTTGCATGCGTTACTAAACACATTCTGCATGCAAAGCTCTGGAAGAGAATGTGATAGGATCATTACAAACCAGCTACGGCCCTCCAAACAGGATAGGTGTGAACGAGATGTGAATCTGTGTTCGCCAATCTGAACGGCTGTTTAGTCTGCACGTTAAAGTTTTATCTAATGATCACTTTGAATGTTCACGACAGGCCTGTTTGAAGAACTGTTTGTGTGTGGGTGAGAAAACAACAGATTTGGGCGGGTCATTAGGTGAAGTATGTGAGCATGTATTTGAAGTCTGTTGAAAGGCTAGACAGTGCAATAATGATTGTGAGTAATAATGAGTTTGTTTTACCTGTTTTCCGCTCATGTGCTGCAGGACCTGACCCCACTGTGCACGATTTAGAAAGAAGTCCCCTTCCTTCCCTTTTCCTCAAATGATTTTCTTTGCTACGGCCTTAAATAACGCACTGAGGGGATGGATGAGGGATGTCTAAAGAGACAACTCCAACCTTTCCTCATCTGAATCTATACACAAACTGCTTCCTGGATTCTCTGGGATCTGATTGAGGACTGTGAGAGTTTAAAACCTAAATGTTTTCCTGGAAACCTGAGGAAGACTGCTGTGAGCCTAAACCCAGAGCTGAGGGAAGCAGCGACATGCGTGCTGTCATTATCACCGCCAGTGAGCAGCTCTGAGAAGGCAAAGAGAGAATCCCACACAGCTTGGCTGGCGGTAGGTGTGCCTGCTTTGTATTTCTTCTTTTGCAAAAGTGTGATGAGGCTGTATTTGATTTCAGCTGCTCTGCCAAGACGGCTGCACACACACCTGTGCTGAAGTGATTTGGTGTGAAAGACAGCACACCTGTTCTCAGCCTTTATCTCCCACACGGCAATTTGAAATCAGAGGGGTAAAGGCATTTTCCCCACAGGTATCAGTAAAGTGTCACAATACCACTTAGATTTTTGGGTTTAGGCAGCTGTAAAGCCATCGTATCATTTAAGAGGCACAATACCGTCTTTTAGCTTTGGGCTCTAACGACGTATAAATAGAAAGTACTAGACTGCTTAAAGTTCAACGTCATAGGTAAAAACACTGAATTCTGATCTGGTGTGAGACCAAAGAGATGCATCAAGCTCACAGAACCTGTCAACGTCTCTCCCAAAACAGGCACTTTGTTGGTTTAGCTCACCTGTTAAGATTTAAAGTGCCTCTTTGAGCAGCGCTAGAAAAATCTCTTTTAAGTGCTGACACGAGAGGAATTCCAGTTATGTAAATTCATTGGGTGAATCCTTTGCGGCTCCAAAAATAGCCCCACCTCTGCCGCAGTCTGCACTCACACGCTAACCCTTGTCTGCCTGTCTCTGGATGACTTCTTACCTGTATCTCATCTTTGTTTTCTTTCTTCTCTGTGAGTGAAGGGTGTCCAGCCCCCATGTCTTTGTATAAACAAAGTGTGGGCTGTGTGTGAGCAGGGCAGGGAGGAACGGCAACAAGAGCTGCCGCGTAGCTGGAATTCCCAAGATTCCCTGCAGCAGATTTAGTCTCTGACAGACGCTGCTGATAGTAGCCATGCTTCACTGGGGCGCACAGGTAGGTACAGCACTGTGTCTTTTTCACAGCCAATCTAAAGTTCAAGCATTCCACATCAATTCCGCTCATTCCTGCAGCCGGTGAAGTCAGCACCAGTGCTGGGGGTTTGGGCACGGGGGCGTATTTTTGACTGCAGCTGTGTCTGCTCAGGTGTGGGTGTGAAAGTGTGAGACACGGCGTATGTTCTTTGGCGAAAAAGGAGAAGTTAGACGCGCGCATTCCATCTAGTTTATTCTTCAAACGGTGATTACTGTAATTATCCTAAAATGTTGGCCCCTCTGCGTGTTTGCTGTCTGCTTTGTTGTGTTTCTGTAGATTCACACCTTTGTGTTTCAGAAGATAAATGGTAGGGGGCATACTGTCCATATAATCAGAGGCACACCTGAGAGCCGGGTTCCCATGAAGCTGTTTTGATGCAAGAGTTTTCCACAATACATACGCCCAGAAAACTTCTTCACAAAGCACAGCAAATATCAGGCTGACACCTAATACAAGCATAAACAGAAATAAATACACGCAGTGACTCACACGTGTGGTTTGATAAGCATAAATCTCTGCAGCTCCAGTGTCAGCAATTAATAAATGAAATCAGACCGAATGGAGCAGCATATCCTGAAGTCACTTGGCAGATGCTTGTTGCTATTTTGGTTCTCCTGCATTCTTACCTGCGGTGTTCACGCCCTGCTAGGCCAACAGAGAGGGAAAAAAATAGATACACATAGATAAACGGAGCCAACCAAGGTATAATTAAAGTAATTAAACAAAGAGGTGAAGTACAGGTGAAGCGCAGGTGAGAAGCAGCCCGGCACTGCCAGGCCCGGAGTTCCATGTAAAGACACTGATGTCATTCCCACCTTATTTCTTATTCTGTACATATGTAAAGTTTTTTCTCAAACCCCTCATTTCTAAAATGATATAGGTCCTGCACCCAGTTTGACCCACAAAGAAACTCCCAAAGTTTAACTGCTGGCAGAGTTTGTGACATGAGGTCCCTTCTACTCAGCAGAAGAGACACTTGGATTAGGACAAACAACAGTAGGACACTATTTCTAACTAGTATAATTGTGTAAACCTTTTTTAAAAATCTTACTAACATGTATAAATGCTTAAAAAATTTAAAAACATACTGTAATTTGTTTGTATTTTGCTGCTTATATTTGACAGCCTTCAGTTTTCACCATCATCCTAACACTTCCGATGACTCGGAAGAATTTTATCAAACCCTAAAATCAGATGACGAACAGCGATTTACAGAAATTCAAAGCGTGCCTCTCAAGTAGAAATCAGACCTAAATACACCCCTTAATCCATCCTATAAAATGTAACTGTTGGGGCATGTCTGCCAGTGAACCTCAGCCATGCGGGCCACACGGGCTTGATACCTCCTTTCCTATCAGCTGCTATCGTCCATTTCAACTCTTCACACGCTAGAGTCCCCTCTCATGTTAATCT